CTCTAAAATGTTCAGAAGCTCTTCAAAACAATAAACAATCTTTGATTTTTTTGTGGATTATATTATTCTTTTTATATAATAATATTACAGAAATTTTAGTTAAGGCAAAATTCCAAACAAGTTAAATTCTAATACTAGCTAATAGATTATTAACTTTTATATCAAATGTAAAATGATTCAAATCCATATTCAGGAAAAGAATAGGAAATCAGACAGAATTAAAAATTAGCAGAAGGATTATCCTAAACTTGTTTTTAAATAAATAATTAGATTTTATAATTAGTTTAAGTTCAGAGATAATAAGAATATAACGAAGCTTTAAAATTGATGAATGATACTTTGAAGCTTAATCCTTAAGATTCTAAGGCTTTAGTATTAAAAGGTTTCTTATAATTATAAATACTTATGGAAATTATATTTCAAAGAAAGAATATATGATCAGGCAGTTGAAGATTTCAATAAGGCTATTATATTAGGTGCCTCAAATGAAGAAACGTTATATAATAGAGATTAGGTGTATTAAAAATTTAAACACATTATTTTATCGAAAAAATATGTTTATGGAAGCTTAGAAGATTACAAAATATGTATTCAAATTAATCCTAAATACTCATTGGTTTATATAAAAATAGGTTGAGAGTCTTCTTTATAATTAGGATGTGTGAAGAATGTAATTGTAAATAAAGATGATGTATTATAATATTATAATAAGCTATAAAAATTAGTGGTAAATGTATTTTAGCACACAATAACAGTGGTATCATTTCATAAGATCCTAATATGGCCTAATTTATAGTTCAAGAAGTAATTAGATTGTAGGTTATTATAGCATCATTGCATTTAAGCTTAGGAAATAAAGATAAATTCATCATAGATCATGACAAAGCTATAAACTACTATAACAGAGGTAATCAAGATTAAAGTATGAAGAAATTTGATCGAGCATTAAAAGATTAAAATAAAGCAATTGAATTTAACTCAAATGATGTTAAAGCTTAGAACAACAAAGGTAATATTAATTATAATTTATATAAGGAAATCTGTATTAATAAAATAACATAAAACAACTAGGCTTTTAAGATTGTATTTAAGCATTAAATTAGAATCAGACAAACCCCTTTAATGGTGAATTAAGCTGATCTAAAATGAATTAAATTTTTGGGAT